ACATCCCAGTTGTCAGTCTGATGCTGACTCACACAGATCGCTTCTATTTTTTGATTTCAGCTAAAGAAGGCAGGAATCCTTTGGACTTGGCCCTTTATTATTGGAAGGGACAGAGGTGAGTAGGCGTGGCCCTAACATCATCCTGGCACTGTTGAGTCTGTTGTCAGTCACAAGTATTTTCGCGAAGGATCACTAAGTATTTTGCTCATCAAACCCGTATTTTCCAAGTAGACCAAGTGATGAAAGACTTTCTTGGTTCCAAACACACTTTGAGGGGTTGGACAGACTGTGACTGAATTTGTTATTACATTAGAATGCAGCGCTATGTGCTGGGTGTGGTGGCTCCTGCCTGTAATTCCGGCACTTTGGGAGGCCAAGGTGGAAGGATTGCTTAGTCCCAGCTGCTCTGGAGGCTGAGGTGGGAGGATGGCTTGAGTCCAGGAGGTCGAGGTGGCAGTGAGCAGAGATTGTGCCACTGCATTCCAGCCTGGGAAACACAGTGAGACGCTATCTTAAAAAAAAATTAAAAAAAAAAAGAATGTGACATTACACCTCATAATTTGATTTGTGGATGATTTCCTTATCTCAGAACAAAATCATGGCAGGAAAATTGCCAAGCTTATTTCTCTCTGATGTGTGGCATTGGCTGGATGGTAGGAGCAGAATGCCACCCTCGGTTTAGCTGATGACGACAACCTGCACCTCGTGCCTTCCCAGCAGCTCTCTGTGGGGTCTCTGGGAATGCCTGGCGAGGCTGGACCATAGACAACAGCAGGACGCAGTGTCTGTGCTCAGCAGCACCTCCTCCCAGGCTCCTGGGAGGCACTGGGTGAGAAAGTCCTCCTGGCCATTGGCTGCAGGGCTCAGGAAGACGGCAGCTGGGCTCCCAGCCACAGCATGGCTCCATGCGTCTTGTGTCATTCTGTTGTTGAATTAGTTCACAAAACAGGCACCCAGCACAGCCGGGCCTTCTAAACTTCTGGTTGATTCTTTCCTTTGGCAACTGAATAATTGGACCCGAGCCCCTATGTTTTGCATGTGGGAAATCCAGGATCCTCCCAGATATTTCTGAGGATGTCCATGTTTTGGGAGTGATGGTGGGGGAGGGGAAATAGGAGACTTGTGTTTTTCTAGATGCTTCCTGCCCCAAATTCCAGATTTCATGAACCTCTGCTGCCCTGATTCTCTGAGGACTGCTGCCCTCACCCCCTTTACGGTTCACTCTGTGTCACTGTTGGGCTTTGCTCTGCTTTTTCCTCCCCCCAAAACATCTCCCGACAAAGCCACCATGAGCAAGACCCTCAGCGGAGTTATAAGGATGAGAGGCTGGTGTGAAGATGAGAGGCTGGTGTGAAGAGGCTGGTGTGGGTGTAGAGATGAGAGGCTGGTGTGAAGATGAGAGGCTGGTGTGAAGATGAGTGGCTGGTGTGAAGAGGCTGGTGTGGGTGTAGAGATGAGAGGCTGGTGTGAAGAGGCTGGGGTGAAGATTAGAGGCTGGTGTGAAGAGGCTCGTGTGAAGATGAGAGGCTGGTGTGAAGATGAGAGGCTGGTGTCAAGAGAGGCTGATGTGAAGAGGCTGGTGTGAAGATGAGAGACTGGTGTGAAGAGGCTGGTGTGAAGATGAGAGACTGGTGTGAAGATGAGAGACTGGTGTGAAGATGAGAGGCTGGTGTGAAGAGGCTGGTGTGAAGATGAGAGGCTGGTGTGAAGATGAGAGACTGATGTGAAGAGGCTGGTGTGAAGAGAGGCTGGTGTCAAGAGCCTGCTGTGAAGCAACTAGACAGCCTCAGGCAGGACATAAGGGGAAATTGTTGCTTTCATGTCCCTTCACCCCCATATTTTGGATTTCTGCCACAGGATCACTGTGGTCTTCCTCCCGGGGCTCACTCCACCTACCCCACAGCTCCCAGCTGCCCTGTCCTCTGTGGCCTCACTTGGGGGACTTCCTGAGTCCTCAGCAGAGCAGCTTCTCTGTCTTCTCCCCATACTTCTTGCACTGACCTGCCTATTTTTTTCCATGACCCAGAATTCCTTCCCAAATGAGAGTGCCATATTCCTTGAGCCCCTTCACTAGAAGCAAGGAGATGGGCAGGTGTTGAACTGTGGCTTTTCTTTAGACCTTTCCCTGATCCCTAGGTTCCCCCAACTATTAAGTCTAGAACAAGCCCAGGAACAATTATTTTTTTTAACCTCCATTTTTTGTTATTCAAATGGTTTCAATCAGTTCAGGCTGCTATAAGAAGAATGCAATGGGCCGAGTGGTTTTAACAGCAGAAATCTATTTCTCACAGTTCTGCGAGCCCGGGATGCGGGAAGCTCCAGAGCCACGTGCCAGACAGTTCCATGGCTGGGAGGGCCTCTGCCTGGTGTGAGGATGGCCCCTCCTGCTGTGTCCTCACATGGCTGAGAGAAAGGTCACCTCTGTTCTTGTCACGGCACTGATCCCATTCACAAGGCCCCCCATGACCCAATCACCTCCCCAAAGCCCCACTTCCTAATGCCAGCACCTTGGAAAATAGGGCTTTAAGATACAAATTTTGGGAGGATTCGAACATTCCGTCCACAACACCCGCTCACGTGCTTGATGTCCAGCAGGCAGGTGAGGCTCCAGGGCTGGTCGGTCCCACATGCTCCTTCTCCCACCCGAGGGTAGGGGCTAGGTTGCCTCTCAGGCTCCCTGGGCAACTGCCCTCTTCCCTTCCAGTGGGGCCTGAGCTGGCTACCGAGCCGGGCAGCTAACGTTCACTCTGCTAAGCTGGATCAACCATCCCTTCACCACACAGTTATTTATTACTGTGGAGAGGCTAGGATTTAGGTGAAAAGAATGACTTAAGTCCCAACATCTCCTGGATGAAGCTGGAAGGGATTAAAATACAGCATCGTTTCTCCCTTGCTGTGTGAAACATGGAGTTCTCTTGGGCCATCAGCCCAATGGTCGCTGGGTAATGGCGTAGCTTTCTATTCTACACCAGCTTCGTCGGAACTGTCCGGTGTGGGTCCCTGCCCACTAATCCTGACTCCTTGAGATTGCCCTTTGTGCTTCTGTCTGGGGACTGTCTGTTTCTGCCAGAGACACTGTATCAGAACACATGGTTGTAGAACTCCGCATTTGCCTTACACCAGCCCCCCAGCAGGGAAACGGTGTCTGTGTCCGTCAGAAGGTCCTGACTTTCCGGCACACTCTGGCCTGACGTTGGCTCTCTGCTGGACACATCAGAAAAGCTGGTTCTCGTGTCGAAGTTTTTTATGGATATGCAGGATAAGGCAGGGACAATGGGCCACCACACACCCTTGACTTCCCCCATTTGGAAAACATATCCCTGAGAAATAGCGGAGGAGAAGGGACCTTGGCCTGTCAGCTACATCTGCCAACGTGACTTCCCTGATGCAGCAAGTGCCCGCGGCAGCGAAGCAGCCCTTGTAAGGTGTTTAGTGCTCCCCAACAGAGGAAGAGGTGCTTAGGGTCTCCAGGGACCTGTGTGGTTCTGCGGAGCCCCAGGAGCAGGAGCTGCACCGTTGCTCGGCGCGCATTTCGGCTGGTCAGGCCTCTGCTAGAGAGCGCTTGCCGCAAAACCTGCGGTTCCTGGACAGCCGCTGAGCAGAGAACCGCACGCTGAAAACGAGTGTAAGTGACACGGTGCTCAGCTTCGACGCTTGGCAAAATTCTCACAAAGGGCCTTCTAATCCTCACTTAACGGGAGAATGGAACAATTTCCAGCAGAAGTTGTGGCTTGCCTCGCCGGGTCTGCTCAGGTCGGCCGGGATGGGGGGTTGGTTAATGTTGGAATCCTCGACCGGTCTGCAGACCTCAGACCACAAAACCCTCCTTCCTAGAAAGCAGCCTCTTCTTTATGGTTCTCAAGAGGAGGATAATTAAAGACTGTGGTAATGGGTTAATTTACAGGAAAATGTCCTTGCAGCACACTCGACTGTCCATGCCTTTTCAATTGCAAACTTTAATCTGCGTCATTTTCTATTGACTGACTATCAGACAGGTCTAGGCTCCTGGCCAAGGTTGGGAAACCAGTCATTCTGCCGCAGGCACCTTGCAGCTTCATTTCAGAACGTTCAATCATGTATTCATAACAGCTCAAAGCCTCTGCATTCACACAGCAGCCCTCACCCATGAGTTTTCTTCATCTCACAAGGTAATGATATTAGAACTGTCGGCCACGGGATTTTCAGTGGGAAAGGGGAAAGCCTGGTGCATTCAATGGAAAAATTCCTCCAGCGTCGTGACCTGCATACATCTCCGAATCCTTTTCATCATCATCCTCTTCAGTGTTCGCCACGAGGGTGCCCGCAGAGGATGTGAGTCCCGGCTTTTCTATTCTTTTGTATTTTTCTTCCAACTGGTGTGGATCCCAGGCAGTTTCAGGGTCCTGCGGGGTTTCAGACGCTCTGTGAACATTGACCCGCGACCCCGTTTTGCCCCTGGGAAGTTGACGCCTGCGCAGCCCCTGGCCAGGGGCACAGGATGCTGGACGCAGGGGACACCGCGCTGTGGGCCTCTGTGCCGTGGACCTTGGGCCGGGGTGGGCTGGGGCAGCCGAGCCAGAGCGGGAGGAGCCCAGGAGGGGCGGGCTCCGGGGCGCCTCGATTCATATGCTAAGGAGCCCTGGATTTGGCTTTAATTGGAGCGAGGGGAAAGTGGCGCAGCTGCCTGGGGCCGCCCAGTGGGACTCTGGAGCAGGAAGAGCTGTTTAAAAACACCCCCCGCTGGGAAACGCGGTGCCACGTGGGCTCAGTCCCTAGAGAGCTGCCCAGGGTTGCGCTGGGGCCGGGATGCTGCGGTGAGAGCTTGTGGCAGGGAGGGCGCGGGGTCATGGTGGCCGCCGCGCCAGCTCCAGCAGCAGGGCCCAGGACTGGGCTCTCATTTCCAAACCTGCCCTGGCTGAGTCTCAGCGTTTCGCATTGTGCAATGGAAAGAACCCCTACCTCACCGCGTTGTTGGAATAAATGTAATAATGCAGCGGGGGCCGGGTTGGGGGGGCCTTAGCACAGACGCGGTGAGGGCGCCCAACGCCAGGTGCCCACCGGCGCTGTGTCCTGGAAGTGCCCAGGGAAGCCTCCGGGGGCTGTGAGGGGAACTGGGGAGCTGGCACGGACCCTCACTGCTCCCCAGAGCCTGGCAGCCTCTCCCCGGGGCTTTGCCCCGCCGTGGCTCCCGTTGCTGCAGGAAGGAAGCTCAAAGGCGGTTAGAGTGCGCTGGGTAAATGTGCAGCTTTTCTTCTGGAGCCTCCCCGGGAAAGACAAGGAGAGTCTTTTCCTGGTGTTGCTTGTGGTGTAAGCCCGGCTTGGGTTCGCGCTGAGCCGCTTCCAAGGAACTCACTGTCTCTTTCTCTCTTTCTTGCCGGAGTGGGAGGTGACCCCGGGGGCCCCAACTGGGGCCTTGGCTGGGAGATGCGCAGAAAGAGACTTTGGCAGGAGTAGCTGCGGTTTGTGCTGTGCTGTGCACACGTCTTGCTGGTAGAAATCGACATCCGTAAACAGGAACATCGTTTGGTTTATTAAACCGTAATAAGCAGATTTTCTGACTTGCATAAGAATTTCTCTGTCATCTTTGCTTTAAGGAAAAGTCTGCTGAATGCCATAGAAAAAGTTGGATTTGATGAGGTTTCAGGAAAGAAAAGGTAACGAACTATTCTAAGAGAGGATTGTGCCTGAGGGGCCGGGCAGACAGGGGTCGCCACCGGCTTGTTGCAGGGGTCGGGGGCACGGCTGTGCCTCAGTGTGGTTTTTCTGCAGCATCTACACAGTTCAAATATTTGGAAAAACCATCTTTGTGAGCGGACTGAGCCACAGCCTGCCAATGTGACAAATGACATCTAAATGCAATTTACAAATTCTAAGTTCCAGGTAGAGGAGGAGATGGCAGGTCCATGTCTTCATTGGCCGTGACCGTTCGTCAGCGGAGACTCCGCCTTAGCCAGCCCTGGCCGGCCCTCCATCCTCTTCGGAACAGACTCTTACATGCACTGATTTTACTGGTATGTAAAAAAATTCAGGCTGATGACGATTTGAAGAGTCTGGCTTCAGGGCCTTGCAGACGAAGCTGACACACCCCCCGTTCAGGAGGGAGCACCTGCACCCCGCCCCTCCCACAGGGAGGCATCTGCCTCGGATGCTCCCGAGGGTCGGGCCCTCGGCCTGCTCTTTGTGGCTCTTTATGGCTCTTTGACGCTCCTTGTTGCAGTCCTGCTCAACAGCTGGTGCTGGCAGGAAGAAGCTCTCTGGCTGCAAGAAAGCCAGAGTGTGGGTGGATGACACAGAATAAATGGGAGGGATGCAGGGTGTCTACTTGGCAGCTCGGATTCCCCAGCAGGGTCAAGACCAGGTGAAATAGGTCCCAGTGAGGAAAAGCTCCTGCGTTTTGTTCCAAACTAGCCTGGCTTCCCCGTGAAGGGGAGGACTTGACCAGGGCACTTTCCTTGGGCCACTTCCTGGGCTTTGGGAGATAGGCAGTGGCCTTTGTCTAAGATCATGTTGCCTATAACCCTGGTTTGCTTTTTATTTATTTATTTATGTTTAGACACAGGGTCTTGCTCTGTTGCCCAGGCTGGAGAGCAAGGGCACGATCATAGTTCACTGTAACCTTAAACTCCTGGTCTCAAGCCATTCTCTTGCCTCGACCTCCTGGGTAGCTGGGACTACAGGTGCCCACCACCATGCCCCACCAATTTTTATATCCTCTTTTTTTTGTAGGGACAGGGTCTTGTCATGTTGACCAGGCTGGTCTTAAACTCCTGGCCTCAAGAGGTCCTCCTGCCTTGGCTTCCCAAAGCACTGTGATTCAGGTGTGAGCTGACACACCCAGACCACAACCGTGTTTTGTGTATCTCACTTTGTGTAGATATTGCCACACTATAGTAAGAGACTGGGTCTGTCATGAAGCTGTGATGGGGTGGACACTCCACACCGTCGAGTCTATGTGACAAGGACTGAATTGGAAGGGTGCTCAGATATCCCCTGGTTGGCAGAGCCCCACCTGTGCAGATGAGGTCCCCAGGCTTGATGCCATCCTGAACATCGTCACTCAGCCATGGCGTTAGGGGAGACTGCAGCCTCTGGTTTCCTGTCCAGCCTTTCCCAGCTGCTTCCTCTGCTTGTTTCTAGTGGAGATAAAGCCAGTGAAAAATGAGGGCAAAGTTGACAGTCCTGCAGTCACGGCCATAGCAGAAACAGTGAATACACGCGTTTGCACAGGCAGAAAGTGGCAAACAGTGTTGGTGAGTGGCTGAAGTCCACAGGATCACCCAGTCAGCGGCTGCTGAGCGCTTTCTATGCACCACACACCAGCCACAGCATGCCCCTACCCTCAAGGGATGGGGCACAGATGCAGCTAATTACACCAGCAATCATTGACGGTCCTTATAAATGCTCTAAAGGAAGCCAAGGGGGTTAATGAAGGAGGAGCTGGCTCAAGTCTAGTGCAAAGTGCACCATCTAATCACCTGGGGAGCTTCTGACATCCCAGCTCCTAGTCATGGAATCTCTTGGGGTGAGCCCTGGACACCAGTGTTTTTTACTGCTGGTCCCCAGGTGGTTCCAATGTGAGAACCACGGCTGTGGAGAAGTGTCGCTGTTTAGAACCTTTACCTGTCCAGGGGAATGGTGTGACTCACTGCATTTTCTCGTTTGTAAGATACCATCAGGTGTAAGACAGAGCCCTGACCTCATCATAACTTTTCAGGAAAGAAAGAATACTCTCCATGTTGTACGTGAGATGCAGCCTTCTCCCCACAAACATTAAAATATGAAAAAGCACATCCAAGAATCAAGAAAATACAGTATTTGAATAAAGATGAATAATACATGCTTTTCAAATGTAGTCTTTGAGGCAGAGTTAATACTTGAATAGCAAATCGAACTTAGGCCTGAAAAGCTGAGCTGAGCCAACCCAGTGGAATCAAATGTTCAGGCGGTGGTGGAGGGCAAACGGCGAAGCCACAGATCGCAGCCTGCAGGCAGCAAGGGCTGCAGTCCCGGCTGCCTGAGTGAGAATGACTGTGTGCTATAATAATGACATTGAATGTTTTCAGAGTACATACTGTGAGCTAAGCACTTAAGTGCTATAGATGTATGTATGTATGTATTTTACACATATATACTTTATATACTGTATATATAAACACACATGCACATCCACAGATATATGTAACTTGATATGATTTGGCTGTGTCCCCACCCAAATCTTGTCTTGAATTGTAGCTCCCATGATTCCCCTGTGTTGTGGGAGGGACCCAGTGGGAGGTAATTGAATCATGGGGGTGGGTCTTTCCCATGCCATTCTTGTGACAGCACTGACAAGATCTGTTTGTTTTATAAGGAGGAGTTTCCCTACACAAAATCTCTCTTTTTGCCAGTGCCGTGTAAGATGTGTCTTTGTTTTCCCCTTGCATTCCACCATGATTGTGAGGCCTCCCCAGGCATGTGGAGATGTGTGTTCATTAAACCTCCTTTTCTTTATAAATTACCCAGTCTCAGGTATGTCTTTACCAGCATTATGAAAATGGACTAATAAATAACTCCTTTAATTTTCTCCCAACCCAAGTATAAAGGCATAAACTCAGCTTGAGAGTGAGCAGCTTGCTGAAGATTTCACAGTAGGCTTTGAATTTGGCCATTCTGACTCCACAGCCTGCCCTGCCCTCAATAAAAATGCTGATGAGTAAAAAGGCAGAGCTCAAGTTTTCTCTGTCAGTATGCACCTCTGTAGTGAGCCGCAGCCCTGGGAATGTCACACTGACCCAGCACGTAAAATTCCCAGGGAAACGTCCCCAAGTGAACACGGTGCCATGCGTGACCCACCCCCGAAGCTCAGCATGGACGTCGCATAGACCTCCTTTTACTCCATTAACCTCCAGTCCACCCCCAGGGGCTGGCCATGCTGATAAAGATTCTGACACCACTTCTTGGATGACAGGGAGAGGGCATTTCTGATAACTATTTCCAAATATTCCCAAAGTTACCCACAAAAGAAGAAAGACATCTTTTCCATGGTGGCCTTGTGGGCAGAGACAGTAAGAACCAAGGGTAGAAATTGCAGGGAAATTTCACCTTCCTACTAAAAGAAACTTTTCCCCAGTTTCAGGTGCCTCCAAATAGGTAAGTAACTGTGAGTGGCAGAAAATCTCTCCAAAACCTGAAATCTGCTAAATCCAGACACAGTCAAGCAAACACTTGAGAAACCCAGCAATGTCTTAGGGAAATTCCAGGGAAGGAGTCCCACTGGGTCCTTTTCCAGCATGCCCTCATCTCTGGAAACGTTTTTGGATCCAAGTTGTAAGCAGAATGAGGACAGGGACCGTGGCTACTATAACATATATCCCTATCCACCCAGAGCTCAGTAAACCGCCCTTAAGTGAGCAAATAAATGGGAAACCCCCTTCCTGTAGACAGGATAGTATAGGGCAAGGGCACAGCTGCTGAATCCAGGCTTCCCTGGACGTGAATTATTCCCCACCAACCACTGGCCCTGAGGCCTTGGTCCAGTTTCCAGTTCCCACACCTTTCTGTCCCTTTTTCCTACTGCACAATGGTAGGAACAGAAAGGTGTGGGATGACACTACCCACCTTACCAGGGTTAAATTATATATATATATATATATTTGAGACAGAGTCTCACTCTGTCACTCAGGCTGGAGTGCAGTGGTGCAATCTTGGCTCACTGCAACCTCCTCCTCCCAGGTTCAAGTGATTCTCTTTCCTCAGCCTCTTGAGTAGCTGGGACTACAGGCACATGCCACACACCTGGCTAATTTTTTTGTATTTTAGAAGAGACAGGGTTTCACCATGTTAGTCAGGATGGTCTCAATCTCCTGACCTTGTGATCTGCTCGCTTCAGCCTCCCAAAGTGCTGGGATTACTGGCGTGAGCCGCCGCACCCGGCTTAAATCAAATATTCTAAGTAAAGTCCTTAGGACAGAGCTGGGAGCAAACTCTCGTGTTCAGTGACAATTAGCTCTCCTTTTGTGTTTAGTTTTGCAAATGTCTTCTTACCTGTCCATCTCCCCATAACCTCAGACTGTGCCTTTCTGGGAGCAAGTCCTGTGTCTTATGCCCCATAACCTCAGACTGCCTTTCGGGGAGCAGGTCCTATGTCTTACGCACCTTCGTTTTTACAGTCCTGATACCTACAAGATGTTTCCCGGGGGCTTCCTGAGTGCACATGTGAATAAATATGGCACAGATGGATAAGAAGAAGACACTGCCCTGCTATTTTCCAACTCGACTGGCATCTGTCTCTGGGATTCTTGGATTTTTCTTCTCCTGAAAAGTCTGTAACAATTCGGATTTATCTGGTTTTATTGTTCATTTTGTTCTCCTGCACCTTAGTGCGGGCTACAGGGAACATTCTCTGTAAAGAGATTCCACCCCCAGGGGTCAAGGTCTTCACTACTGAGGACTGTCACGGAAGCATGCCATCACACCTGGGGAACTCTAGCAGACTCTCGTATGAAAACAGGGCACACACATTCCTGATAAGATTTCCAATACTTGGCTAGGCACTGATAACCAGTCTTAATTAGCTTCCTCCCTGGTTTACCTTGGACCCTGAGCTCCCAAAGTAGGGTAGTGTCAGGCACATGGTCACTGTTGAACAGCAACCATTGAACAGTTCTATTGACATCCTAAATGCTCTGAGCTCTTAGCCAGGGAAGTTGGTGATTCTGTTTAGTGAGACTGTTTTTCTTTGTTTCTCTTGAAATAGAAATGTAGTGTGAAAACTTTATTTCTGCAAGAATGAGGCATGTCAAGGAAGGAAAACGTGAAATGCAGTGGGAGAACACTGGGTGGCCTTGCAGTCCCTCCCCACATGGTAAGGACGGCAGTGCGGCTGTAGGTGGCAGTGTGGCTGTAGACGGCAGTGTGATTGTAGATGGCAGTGTGGCTGTAGGTAGCAGCATGGCTGTAGATGGCAGTGCGGCTGTAGATGGCAGTGCAATAATAGGTGGCAGCGTGGCTGTAGGTGGCAGTGTGGCTGTAGATGGTAGTACAGCTATAGACAGCAGTGTGGCTGTAGGTGGCAGTAAGGTTGTAGGTGGCAGTGTGGCTATAGATGACAGCATGACTGTAGATGGCAGTGTGACTGTAGTAGTGGACTGTAGATGATAGTGCAGCTGTAGATGGCAGTGCAGCTGTGATAGTGTGGCTGTAGATGGCAGTGTGACTGTAGTAGTGTGACTGTAGATGATAGTGCAGCTGTAGATGGCAGTGCAGCTGTGATAGTGTGACTGTAGATGGCAGTGTGACTGTAGTAGTGTGTCTTTAGATGGTAGTGTGGCTGTAGGTGGCAGTGCAGCTGTGATAGTGTGGCTGTAGATGGCAGTGTGACTGTAGTAGTGTGTCTTTAGATGGTAGTGTGGCTGTAGGTGGCAGTGCAGCTGTGATAGTGTGGCTGTAGATGGCAGTGTGACTGTAGTAGTGTGTCTTTAGATGGTACTGCAGCTGTAGATGGCAGTGTGACTGTAGTCGTAGTGTGTCTTTAGATGGTAGTGTGGCTGTAGATGGCAGTGCAGCTGTGATAGTGTGGCTGTAGATGGCAGTGTGACTAGTAGTGTGTCTTTAGATGGTAGTGTGGCTGTAGGTGGTAGTGCAGCTGTGATAGTGTGGCTGTAGATGGCAGTGTGACTGTAGTAGTGTGACTGTAGATGATAGTGCAGCTGTAGATGGCAGTGCAGCTGTGATAGTGTGACTGTAGATGGCAGTGTGACTGTAGTAGTGTGTCTTTAGATGGTAGTGCAGCTGTAGATGGCAGTGTGACTGTAGTCGTAGTGTGTCTTTAGATGGTAGTGTGGCTGTAGATGGCAGTGCAGCTGTGATAGTGTGGCTGTAGATGGCAGTGTGACTGTAGTAGTGTGTCTTTAGATGGTAGTGCAGCTGTAGATGGCAGTGTGACTGTAGTCGTAGTGTGTCTTTAGATGGTAGTGTGGCTGTAGATGGCAGTGCAGCTGTGGTAGTGTGGCTGTAGATGGCAGTGTGACTGTAGTAGTGTGTCTTTAGATGGTAGTGTGGCTGTAGGCGGCAGTGCAGCTGTGATAGTGTGGCTGTAGATGGCAGTGTGACTGTAGTAGTGTGTCTTTAGATGGTAGTGTGGCTGTAGGTGGCAGTGCAGCTGTGATAGTGTGGCTGTAGATGGCAGTGTGACTGTAGTAGTGTGTCTTTAGATGGTAGTGTGGCTGTAGGTGGCAGTGCAGCTGTGATAGTGTGGCTGTAGATGGCAGTGTGACTGTAGTAGTGTGTCTTTAGATGGTAGTGTGGCTGTAGGTGGCAGTGCAGCTGTGATAGTGTGGCTGTAGATGGCAGTGTGACTGTAGTCGTAGTGTGTCTTTAGATGGTAGTGTGGCTGTAGGTGGCAGTGCAGCTGTGATAGTGTGGCTGTAGATGGCAGTGTGACTGTAGTAGTGTGTCTTTAGATGGTAGTGTGGCTGTAGGTGGCAGTGCAGCTGTGATAGTGTGGCTGTAGATGGCAGTGTGACTGTAGTAGTGTGTCTTTAGATGGTAGTGTGGCTGTAGGTGGCAGTGCAGCTGTGATAGTGTGGTTGTAGATGGCAGTGTGACTGTAGTAGTGTGACTGTAGATGATAGTGCAGCTGTAGATGGCAGTGCAGCTGTGATAGTGTGACTGTAGATGGCAGTGTGACGGTAGTAGTGTGTCTTTAGATGGTAGTGCAGCTGTAGATGGCAGTGTGACTGTAGTCGTAGTGTGTCTTTAGATGGTAGTGTGGCTGTAGATGGCAGTGCAGCTGTGATAGTGTGACTGTAGATGGCAGTGTGACTGTAGTAGTGTGTCTTTAGATGGTAGTGCAGCTGTAGATGGCAGTGTGACTGTAGTCGTAGTGTGTCTTTAGATGGTAGTGTGGCTGTAGATGGCAGTGTGACTGTAGTAGTGTGTCTTTAGATGGTAGTGTGGCTGTAGGTGGCAGTGCAGCTGTGATAGTGTGGCTGTAGATGGCAGTGTGACTGTAGTAGTGTGTCTTTAGATGGTAGTGTGGCTGTAGGTGGCAGTGCAGCTGTGATAGTGTGGCTGTAGATGGCAGTGTGACTGTAGTAGTGTGTCTTTAGATGGTAGTGTGGCTGTAGGTGGCAGTGCAGCTGTGATAGTGTGGCTGTAGATGGCAGTGTGACTGTAGTCGTAGTGTGTCTTTAGATGGTAGTGTGGCTGTAGATGGCAGTGTGACTGTAGTTATCAGTGTGGCTGTAGGTGGTAGTGTGGCTGTAGGTGGCAGTGCAGCTGTGATAGTGTGGCTGTAGATGGCAGTGTGACTGTAGTAGTGTGTCTTTAGATGGTAGTGTGGCTGTAGGTGGCAGTGCAGCTGTGATAGTGTGGCTGTAGATGGCAGTGTGACTGTAGTCGTAGTGTGTCTTTAGATGATAGTGCAGCTGTAGATGGCAGTGCAGCTGTGATAGTGTGGCTGTAGATGGCAGTGTGACTGTAGTCGTAGTGTGTCTTTAGATGGTAGTGTGGCTGTAGACGGCAGTGTGACTGTAGTTATCAGTGCGGCTGTAGGTGGTAGTGTGGCTGTAGATGGCAGTGCAGCTGTGATAGTGTGGCTGTAGATGGCAGTGTGACTGTAGTCATAGTGTGTCTTTAGATGATAGTGTGGCTGTAGATGGCAGTGCAGCTGTGATAGTGTGGCTGTAGATGGCAGTGTGACTGTAGTAGTGTGTCTTTAGATGGTAGTGTGGCTGTAGGTGGCAGTGTAGCTGTGATAGTGTGGCTGTAGATGGCAGTGTGACTGTAGTCGTAGTGTGTCTTTAGATGGTAGTGTGGCTGTAGATGGCAGTGTGACTGTAGTTATCAGTGCGGCTGTAGGTGGTAGTGTGGCTGTAGATGGCAGTGCAGCTGTGATAGTGTGGCTGTAGATGGCAGTGTGACTGTAGTCGTAGTGTGTCTTTAGATGGTAGTGTGGCTGTAGGTGGCAG